GATGAAGCTAATCCACTGCAAAAGCTTTAAAACAACAAAGTTGTGCAGCTGAGGCGTATTTCTTGGAGCATTACCAGTGGTTACACAAATATCAGTGCTTGCGCTCTGGGAATGGTAGCAGATTTTTGCATTCAGGGTGGGACATCATTGATTTTCAAATGTAGAGTGGTAGGTTGAAGCAGTTTTATGTATGGACCATGCTCACAGAGCAGAGCGCACCTGGGAATTAACAGGGGAAGGACTAGCTGCCCATTTTTGTTGCTTTTTTTGTAACGTTCTCAAATTTTATGGTGCTTTAATAGTATAAAACATCAAGGATTTTTTTAATGCTGTCTCTCGTTTTTTGTAGCACGTATTCTCTGGCATCGTTTTTGCATCTTATGGCCTCCTTTTTCAGGATCTCCTGAAAGCCAAGATTTAAACAACCGGCTTTCTATTTCAGGTGCCCAACGAAAATACTCTGAAAGGACTAATTTTTCTTTGAAGGGCTTACACTTTTTCAAAGAAGTGGAGCCTGGTGTGCATTTTGAGTCAAGGGCCAAAGGTGAGGGCAGTCAAAATAATGAATCATTCTGAAAACCCGGTCAAGAATATGTAAAATTGTGAACTTAAGTCTTCACAAATTTAAGATAATGTTTTCTATAATTTGCGCTCTGAGTTGTAAAAATTTTTAAAATCTTGCATTTTTGTAAGATACACTTCAACTACAGTATAGTTCTGTAAGTCAAAGTTTCTGATGGCAGTAAAATATGGTTTGGGTTTCAGATATTTCATACGGTATTAAGTGAATGTTTGGGTAGGAAGATGCATTGCTTGCATGTGTCCATTTAGGAGTCAGACTGAAGAATAATGAATTAAAGTGACTGACATCATGACAACTGTAAGACAGAGAAGGGTTGAAAAAGGCACAGAAGCGGCTGGAGATCATCAGCCTTCAGAGGAGAAGAATGTGAAGCCTGATGGGAAAATTCTGTCTGGTGGGTAATGAAAAGGATTTTGTAACATTACGGCTTTTTAGTAATGTTTAGCTTCTGGTATCTGTCCTAAGCACAGGTTAGAACTAGGTATGTACCAAATACATTTTCATACTTTAATATCTGTCACCAAAATTAATTGGATGAGACAGAGGGCATGCAGATTACTGCACGTCAATCTCATCTCTTTTAAAATCCTAATTTAAATTGGTAAGAACAGTATTTTTCAATTTATTGTCAGCGACACACTGTCAGATTTCATATAGCCATTGTAGGTTCTTAAACGAATCCCGGTTCAAATCATTGGTAACATAAAAGGATTTGAAGACTTCTGATGACTCGTACTTAAATATAAGCAGATTGTACATGAAAACTGAATTTATCTGCAAACCCTTGCTTTTTGACTATAGGACAGATTAGCTAGGTAAATTTAAGAGATATTAAGTGTCTTAATTTGAGGATCTGTTTAAGTAATGAAATAGTGACACCGTTTTTGTTTAGAATTATAACTTTAGAGTTGGCAAAGTTTGTTGGGTTTGGTTTTTTTAATTATCTTATTTTAAGGGATGTTTTGATCTAAATTCCAATGTTTCTATGAATGCAGTTTGGGTAGATGAAAGGAAAGTTACATTGTTGTTTCTACACAAGTACACTTAGGCTATAGACAAAATGGGAAAGTGATCATAGTTCTCATCAAGCCCAGCCCTCAGTTCTGTTGAATTGTGTATTTGGTACCCATTATGTCGATGTCACACACAGTATGAAATAGCCATTTCAAAGATACAATTCCAGATCACTAAGATCCATATTAATATCAACATTAAAAAAACCCCAAAAACTAAAACAACCAGGAATGTAAGGTTACAATAAATTGATTGAGCTACCTAGAAACTCAACCTTGCTTTCCCCTGATTCCATCTATAATCTTACTCTGGTGTCAGTAGGAGGTAATCTGTAATTCAAAGCATGACACCATTATCAAAGGCTGCTTTGGCCACTGTTCAGTCTCTTTGTGTGTATTTAGTGAGACTTCTGAACCTTCAGTGTTGTTTTTTACAAAACCCAAGAAAACCCCCAAAAAACAGGCAGCTGTGTGAAGAGGACATGTGAAAAGGATTTTAATTTCTTATTTTGTGATCTAACAGTCATCCTGTGTTGCCTTAATTAAAAAAGTTGCCCTGGAAGATATTTCAATTTAGATTTACAAATTAGGTATGGTATTTGTCTAGATTTGTATAGGATCATGGTGTTCTTAAACTGTAACTACATTTTACCAGTTAAGGCACACCTTATTTCACTTCGCATGTGAATAAAATACTCAGAGTTTGCTATATGGGAAAATAAAAACCACCATCTCCATAAAGACCTCTTAAAACCAAGTGTCCTGTTAGCTACAGAAAGTAAACTGTACTAGCACAGGCAGTGTATAAATGAGTTTCCAAAATTCCTTTAAGATGGATTATGTGTTTCACAATTACAGAGTGAAATATTTTTCTTCCAAGATCATACAGGTGGAAAGCTGTGGAACATACTCTCAATAACTGTTGGTGGAATTGTTGCCATCTCTCTTGGACTTCTTACTTCTGTTTATGTTGCCACACTACATGAAAATGACCTGTGGTTTTCCAATATTAAGGTAACAGTCATTTTCATAGTTTCATCAGTGTTTTCATAGAGCATTAACATGAGCGTTAGTTGAAATTTCACTTATTTATGTATTTGTCTTGTAACTTGCTCAAAAACATAGAATATTTCATTTTTAAAAATTTAATTTAAAAAAAGCTGTGCTTCCCTTCCCACCACTTTTTAAATACTTGATCATTTCTATAAATACCTTTCCCCAGTCTTTCTCTAAAAACATTGCTACACAGCTCCTGCCTGAGTGGTAGCTATGGTTCTTCCAACTATTGATCATTATCTAGAAGAGAATTTCAGCAATCTACTATATGTTGCTCTGTAGTCATCTTTCTTTTATTCAAAGCAATCCAAAACCAAACAAAACCCAGTTAAAATAAACAACATGCAAAATCCTGACACACAATTCTTTAATTGTATTTATAGTGTGATATTGTAATACAGTTTAGGCACCGTCTCTTACTATTCAATACTAATTTTATATAATGTTATCCTAAGTGTGCAAACCTCAAAACATATTTCAGACATTCACCAATGTCAAACCAACCATTCCCAAGATCCAGGACTGACTAGTTTTTTCCTAGAGTCATTGCATGGGAAAATAATGCAGCTGTACCCATATCTTAATTTAACCAGAGAAAAGAAACAGGTGAGTCATTTTCCCTTTAGATGCCTAAAATTCACTCTGTTAGGTCTACGTATTACATTATTCCAAGACTATGTATATTTAATTGAAATACTTGCATTGCAATATGTTTTTCTATACTACGCACTTTTTCTGTCCCAGACACATTCATATTCCCTGTAATAGAAATAGTTGGCACTTACCGAAACAATTGCCGTTGTATTATACATATAATACTATTTGTACCCACTCTCATCTTTCTTTGAATATATAGATAGATTGTATATATAATGAAGGTACACCTTCGGTTTGCCTTTTCCTTCCAAAAGCAAGTATTGATTAATTTCACAGGTATTGTATATTTTGAAGTACAAACGGGCGTGGACTTGTGGCAATATATGAACGTAATGGATACAGCCTTTTTATTCTGTTGAACTGGTACAGAGGGGCACAAAGTTCACTGAGAGAAGCAGGTCTGTAGTTGCAATTAAGTTGCCCCCCAATGGATGAAATGCTCATTTTATTTGATATTGTTTTCATTTTAAGTACACTAGAATGCCATTAGCTATCAAAACTGAAATAAAACCCTCTAGATACTTTTAGTCTGGATTCTGTTGTCTCTGTAGCTCTCATTTCATCCTATGGAGTTGATATGATAACTAGGAACATTGGAACGTGAGCAATTTCAGCCAATTCGATGGAAAGATTCTAAAAAGCATAAAGTTCATCTACCAGGAGGTTAAAGGAGAAACAGATGCAGATATTCTCTGGTCTGACATTATACCTTCTTCAGTAAGATGTGAACTCCACCAGAGAATGCATGTGGCTACAGTGCTAGTTTTAAACTGATAACAATAGGAAAAGCTTTAATGAGGTTTCATGTATTGTTAGAGATGAAATAACCAGTTGTAACACAGAGCCAGAAGTGATCAGGCTTCGTACATACTCTGGCTTTTTGGAGCTATGTGTTCAGTGGGTGTATATGGTTTGTGTTTTTCATGTGCACACTCTCAACTTACATTGTTTCTGAGGATATCTTCCCAAATAGAAAGCTATAACTTTAACTTGGTTGATCAGACAAATGCAATTTATTTTGTAAACACGTCCCAAGCGAGATTCAAAGGTATTTTTAAAGATTTGTTTTCAAATTATTTATTACAGCTTGAGACCAAACAGGTAGTATCCCCTGCAGTTTATTTGCAAATACAAAGAAGGTTGGGGATGAGTCAAGTCTGATCAAATTTTCTACAATTGTCTGCCAAGTCAGACTCTGACTGTGCTTTCACTTCGATTAACACAAAGCTTTCCAAGGTTTTACTGTTAATGTAAATATGGTCTAGACTTGTTTTCTTGCCAGTATCCGTATCAGAGCATTTTGTGGCCATAAGTGAGAACAGCAAGATAAGAAATCTAAACTGTATATTTTGATGCACTTAGCTAGGCAGAGAAAGAATACATCGATGAGATAAAGTTTAAACAAAATACTGTTTTATGAGTAGTATGGGAAGAAAAGACTACCTATGAAGAGCCTGTGAAATTTCCTGCAAAGCTGAGACAGGAAGGCTCATCCTAACATCTGTAGAACAGTATATAGGCATCTCTGTGCCTATATGTATGAGTGGACATTGTAGTATCTCTAGATGTATGTATGTATTTTCCAGCATTTCTGAATTGGCTGATCTTATATTTACAGCACATACCATATACTAGTAAAAGACAAGAATAAAATACCTCATGGAACAATCTGAGATCCTCAAAAATTACATTGAAAATAAATGGAAAATTTGCTTTTTTCCTCTAACATTTTATAGTCTGGCCAAAGCATATATTTTTGCATATATTAACTGAATTTTCTAAAAAATTTTGGAAGAGTAAGTTTTATTTTAATGTGTACCCCAGCCCAAATTCTTAGAAGGGCGGACTGTCTAATTCTTGGCAGACAATTATTGCATGTCTTGCTTAATGAAGCACAGAGGTTATATTATTTTAATTAAACATTACATATAGAATAAATGGATGCAATACTAACACACATCCAGTGTTTCATTAACCCCCATGCCTATGAAACATAGTAGTGCATCACCACTACTCTGAAACATAGAAAAGAAAATAAATTCTAAATCAGTTGTATTTCCATACATTTTAAATTACTAACTTCAGTCACTCTGAATTGGCTGTAAACAGTGCAAATTTGGGGGTTTTATGTTGCTGAACTCTGATACTAAAATTGTATAACAACATATTATCCCCTTGAACTTCATTCCTTTCTTCCAGTAAGCACAATTAGTCAGATGGTAAGAATTCAGACACAAAAGGGTATGTATGGCTACTGAATTTATATAGTGAGACATAATGGGAGACTTGTTTTGTCGTTTTTTTCTTTTACGTGAAGGTACTCCTCTCTTAGTACATCAGTAGAAGACGGTCTGCAGTGTTTATCTGACACTTTTGAGCTATACTAGGCAGAGGTTTTTACATACAACATTTAGGTACAAAAGGTGAAATACTTGTTTTGAAGACCCTATTGGTATATGAATGTCACGATTGCGTAGTCACAAAATTGTGCAGTTTGCCAATTGTATTCAACCCTAAAAATTCAAAGTAAAAAGAGTTCATTAAGCGCAGTCATGATTCTTAACTTCTAAATAATTGAAGTCACAACTTGCACATACACTTGGAGTAGTGATTGCCTTTCTGTAATTTCAGTTGGAATTCATGGAAAGCCAGTTCAGTTTTGGGTGTCTTCCAGGAATGGTTCATCCAACTAGAAAAACTGTTCTATGGTTGTTACACTGTTTTGTTCTATTTTGAATATGACTTTCAACAGTGCATTGATTTCAGCTGCTTCAGTATGTGTGAATCTTGTTCTTATTTGCTAATAAATATGCCTGCTATTATAAATTTGCCATGGTCATTGGAGAAAGATGTAAAATTGTTTTCTTATCAGAAAAACTGCAAGTGCAGATCTTGAAGAGTGGTTTATGCTATGAAAGAGGTACATGATTGGTACTCTTCTTTTTATTCCAAGACTTCCTGAAAGAACAACAGAAAAAAAAGAGAATGCAGAATACCATGTCACATAGTCAGAAGCTATGTTTGTGTACACTTCCAGCAGGGGTCACAGAAGGTTATAATCACTTACCTTGACCAAACAATTTTGAAGAAAAAAGTTTGGATCTCTTTTCATATGCATTAAAACAACAAAGATTTCTGTTTATGATGGTGAAAGCCAAAACAGATTTCTTATCCGAAGATCCTTTCTCAGTTTTTTGAAAACTTTCTAGCACGACACATATAGAATGGCAAGTTTATTTTCATTGATTTTTCAATAGCAGTTTAGTGACTGGTCCTCAAGTATAGTATCTTTTGGGAACAGGCTCTACTATGAAAATAACAAAATAGGGTGGACGGTGGGGAGAGAATTACATCACCTCTCCTGTCAGCTGTTGTGTTGCTTGTTCAAACACAAACTCTGAAGAAACTTTGAACAGGAATGAGCCAAGGCCACATAGCAAATTAATACTGTAACACAAATGGGTAAACATCAGAGCTTTCATTTGTTCTTCATTCCTTCTGAGTAAGCATTTAGATACTGTTACTGAATTTTCCTTTAATAAAATTGCTGCTTGCAAGAAGTCAGGAATAAAAATACCAAATTTTAAACTTTCAGACATGCAGGATAAGAATCCTGGGATTCCTTCTCTGGAGAGCTTATAGTTTCCCCTTTTACATTTTGAATATAAAAGAAAGATGACAAAATGTGTGGAAATGGGTAGCCAGCTAATTAGAACTCTGCGAAGTGACTGCATAAGCCAGGAAGAGGAGGAGGGCAGTCCAGTACTTCGGTGGTACTTTTCCAAAGAAGTATGCATTGAGTTGTTATGGGTACTTTTACTCTGGATCAGAAGTCTGATGTGAGTAGGAACGATGCCATTCTAACAGATGGGCATGAGGTTAACCAGCCAAGAGACCATGTACAAGGATTAAATACGTTTGCTGAAGGCATGATTCTCAACCGGGAACGTTGATTGCAGCTGTCTGTATTAAGTTTCCACTTGTATGGTTGAGACAATTTTCAAATCTTTCTGATCTTAAATTGAACAACTAAAAATATTTTCAATTACGCAAATTGTGTCTCAGCTTTGTCAAAAAAGAAAAGTAATTGGAGCTTTGCTTATGCTCTTTATTTATAGAAAAACTCAACTCGGACTTTGGCTGCTTGCTCAGTATTCTGAATGACTTGGTTAAGGAGTTTGAGGAAACCTAAGCTCTAGAATTTTGCACTGCCCTTGAGAGGAAGTCCTTTGTAATTTTTTTGAATGCTTAATATTATTAGGACACAATTGCATAAACTGAAATCACATGCAACTGTGTATGTATCCTGGAGGATGGATTTTTTTTTTTCCTTGGAACAGTGATAACTTCTTTGTTAAAGACTCACAAATTGACTATACAGAAAGATAAACGTGCTGTTATAATGCTTACCCATAAGTCTGCATGTTTTTATTGACATGGAATACTAGGGAAAGTATAAATTGCTGTAGAACTGGAAAAGTATTGTGAGTGAATAAAACAGATGTTATCTTAGCATGAAGCAGATGTAAAACTCACTAGTGTTTGTCTCATAAAGTATAGCATTTGGTTGAATACAGCTGGCGCCAGGATTACAAATTAATCATGTTTGAATGCATTTTTGCTAATAAGATCCCCCTCTGTGACTATGCTCTCCCCCTTAATAAATTCCAAATACTAACGTTCCTTTCTTTTTTTTTTTTATGAGCACTTACAATTGGCCACTTTTTGGTATTAGAAAACTTTTCAGTAGTGATGAATTTGAAACTAGAGTTTGTTCCAAATCCAGCATTCTCAGTTTGCTAGGTGTGTGGCTTTTAGTACTTCGTGGCAATGTCAGTTTCTTCTCCTAGTACTACAGTGATTTGTATGTTACATTGAATCAGATGTGGTTTTATTTGTTGATTTTTCTCAGACCAGAACTAATATTGGTTTAGTTTGTCAACAGTTGACTTCGCTAAAACACATGTTTTGAGATAAAATTCTGTACTGGGCAGTAGAGGAGGGAGGAACATGATTTTTTATCTAGCTTTATGCTAGCTCTGAAAGTAGTACTGATTCCGTTCCAGCAAAAGAGATGGGACTGTATAAGAAAGATGAAAGTCTTGGGATTCTGTGCAAGGTTGCATTAACCAGAATGGCATTCATGAAAATCTCAGAAAACAGTAACATTCTGTTATTTCACTAATGTTCTTTTTGTAAAGAAACCTGAATTAATAAGATTATTTTTAGAAATCACATTTAAATTTATCAATGACTTGCATATACCACATACAGGAATCTCACTGGTAACTTACTGCTTACGAGAGATATTTGCTGGGATGTTTTTATGTAAACTACTAAAAAGATCACTAATAATAAAGCAATTTTGTATAAGATGCCTATTATTTCTCTTCAGATTGGTTGTTCATGAAGTTTTATTTTGTTGAAATGTGGTTGCCCAAGCCTCTGAATTTGTTAAATTTCATTAGGTCTTCACAACTAATGAGTTAACAAAAGGAGGTGAATTCCAAAGCAAAGATCCTGTACTGAGAGCAGTTTTCTCTAGGAGAGCTTTCATATCTCACTAGACTCCCCCTGCTGCAATGTCAGCCAAGAAAGAGGCATAGTTTGAAGTGTACCTAGTTTAAATAATTTTAACATTTTTAAATTAAAAGTAGTAACTTTACCTACACCTAAAACCAAGTAAAGAATCGCTTTTCCTTTAACCTATAATTTAAGCATGAGAGTGATGAACAGCTGGCTTCCTGCAAGAAACAGCATTTAAACAAGTGGGTAGCAGCATACCCTGCCAGCTGAAATCTCAGAGTGGCATCACGGTGCAGTCCCAGGTGTAGCACACTGAATTAATTGAGCCTTAAGGTGGCAAAGCCATGGAACGCTATGGGATATCTACATCTGGAAGAAAAGGTTAAATGCATGGAGCAAGCATGTGCAGTTTTAAAGTCCAGCTGTTGGCCACTGCACCTATCTAAACATTGACTATTACCAAAAAATAGCAAAAGATCAAAAATGTTTCCAAACAGCATATCAGAATCACAAAAGGAATATACATTTCCCCAGCTGACAGAGGCATTGACACCTCAGCTATTTGCCTCTCACCCTGATTTGTCCATGTATTTTACCTTTATTTGAACTAAGTTGTATAGAATGCGTGAACCTGAAGATTCAAGGCACCGTATAGGTCAATTTCCCTGGTGCAGCAAGAATTTGAGTTGAAGGCAGCTTCATATGACTGTGAAAAGCAAATGGAAAGTGAATTTACTATTGAACTTTCACTTGCAGGAAGTCGAAAGAGAAATTTCATTCAGAACAGAATGTGGACTTTATTATTCCTACTACAAACAGATGATTCAGGCTGCTTCCATCCAGCAAGGTATTGTAAACTGTAAAGTAAGTTTTACTTCATGTTGCCAGCTGATGATTTTTAATATTTTTTCAAATCAAGTTGAGAACAAGGAATACCATAACTGTGAAAGATAGTGTAACGATTGTGCTGGAGACACATTTATTCTGTTCATACGCCAGGGAGCCACTAAGTTATGGACGTAATAAATTTCACAATGATACATTGTTTTCTGTGCCACACCTTCACATTCTGATGAAGGCAATCACTTTGAGGGACAACTTTCATATCTGTTAAGGTTTCAGCCTTGCTGGTTTATTCAGTATATTACTTTCATTTTTATTCTTCTCTTGTTTAATTTGAATTATGAGCTCTTTGTGGGAACAGCTTTTTTGCTGTTTGCCTGGACAGTAAGTGACACAATGAGCAAGTTCCAAGGAAATCATATACAATGATGCGGTTTTCTGTGACAGTCTCACGTTTTCTAGATACTTAACTGTTGCTCCCTAGCGATTTTGCTTATACCACACATTTGTCAATATTAACATCACCTGTGTTCAAAGTACTGACAGGAATGGTTCTCAAGATCCAGTATGTACCACAGATTCTGTGCTAGGAATGTAAGTGTAAAAATAAATGTTTTATATGTTACTAAATATATAGTACTTGAATTAGCACTCTGAGTCACATTCGAAGCAGGGAGACTGAAGACCTCAGAAGGTCATGTTGATTCAGAGGTAATGTGATCTGAATCCTTGACTCAAAGTTTGCAGTTTTTGATGAGAGAGCCTAAAATACCTTTGAAAAAGTTATTCACTGTTCAAATGAAGATGGAGAGGGAAAATGACAATCTCCTATTTCAATTTCTCTTTATCGTTAAGGTTTACATGGTTTAGTATATGACAATAAAACTGAATCTGTGAGGACAATTAACATACTTGAAAGAATGAATGTTTACCAGGAGGTGTTTCTCAGCATTCTGTATAGGATTCTTCCAATTCAGGTAGGCATGCATTTATGGCTTTAGATTGTAAGTGCATTATGAAGATTGCGCAGTGAATCATAGCTCCCCTTTTTAGTTATTTTCTAATTAGAAATATTCCTAACACCTTTTTAATTTGTAAAAGCAGAACCTAATTCATACTAAGTGTAGTCCCCCCCCATGAGTGTTTTATGTCAACATCAGTATTCTTGTGTTTTACAGCAATACCTAGAACCCGTTTATTTTTATATCTACACTTTGTTTGGACTTCAGGCAGTTTATGTCATTGCTCTGTATGTAACGAGCTGGCTTCTTAGTGGAACATGGCTTTCAGGGTTGTTGGCAGCTTGCTGGTATATTACAAACAGGTAAGTGAGATTAAACGTTTGACCTTTCTAAAATTGTACCTCATTTCAAAGGTAAGACATTAAACCTTCAAATGCATGATTAACTGGACAAAAAAATGGAACTATAAGGCCTCTCTCCAGATTACCCAGAAAATAGAAAAAAAAAGTTTAAATAATACGCAAGAATTAGAAAATAATCAGAAATGAGCTGACATTGCAGAGTAGGATTTTAAGAAGTTTGAGTAGAAAAATCTGGCTTAAATTGGTTTCTGAAAGTGGACTACATCTTTAAGCTTTGTCTGGATCTCCAGAGGAGGTACCGTGTCTTCTCCAGCATAGGATCCCTTAGGTGTCAGACACCTGCATATATGCCCTTCAGGTCTCTCCTTACTGCCCCACACCCAGCCTCCAGGGATTTCTTCAGCAACCTGAGATCATCAGAAGTTCAGCTTCTCTGTTCCCTTATTTCTGTAGGCATCTCCTGCACTAAGACGCAGAGAAAAAATATGGTAATTGAGCTGTTCTAGTGCTTTACCACTTGAAGAATTCTCATTTTGGGGAGAAAAAACTAAAGAACTGGCTTTACACCAACAGTAAGCTGCTGGCATGAAGCTAAGACTGGTGACATAGGCTGTTATCTGTAAATTAATCAAGAAAGTAAAAGTACAGTGTCAGTTCTGTCAAAACTATTTGATATGTTAATCAGCAGCTGTAAAGTTTATCTGCAAGCATGTCCATTACAGAATAATTGCAGGTATATAGTGGTAAAACATTTCTTTCTCCGAAGATGAAAGTAATTAAAAATATATGCAATGTGCAGTAGTTCACGTGTTTATTTCATGAGGTCATCTTTTCCATTTACAGAATATTTGGAGCAGATTTGTTTTGTCCATCTTTCTAATAATTCGTGAACAATGGAAGCCTGTTATCCTTTATGCAAATAGAATAAGTACATGGAATTGTTTTGGATAAAGACTTTCTGTCCAGATGAAGTACATCTGAGGTTACTGAGTAACTCCATTTTAGACATTTTTTTCATCCAGCTAAGCATGTTTCAGATGTGTTGCTTACTTTCCTTTTTAGCAAACATTTTCTCTACACAAGAAAAAAGGAAATTGTTTTTTGTTTTTAACTTTCAGTTCAGGTTTTGTAAATGACTGCCCTTTGGGGAATTTTTACTAACTTCCATCACACACTTTTTATGTTAGAACATTCAAAAAATGACAGAACTTCCTAACCAGTTTGTTCAAGTCCAATGCTCTGGGATCACAGTGAAGAAATTGGTACCTATTTATTCTTGTATGTGCTTTTTGCAAACCAAAAAATGAAGTAAAATTACCTGTGGCGTGAAAACTCCACATGCTGGATTTTCCGAGTGTTTTTGTTTTGGGGTTTGCTTGTTCATTTTTAAATTACCCAAGCTGTGCTTTGTAAGTAAGATTGAATCCATAGTGTAAGTTTCCTAACAGTCAGTGAAGCTAAAGTACAACATTTGAGGTACAGAAACAATGGATGACTTGCAGAACCTTCATAATCATGTTTTTTTAGAGCCAGGCATGTTGAAGGAACTAGAGTGTAAAGCCTCTGTTTTTATTAATAGGTAATTAAAATACCACAAAGATGCCTGTCATTGCATCCTCTCTGTCACCAACTTGGTGTTTTATTTGGTTTAAATTTATGAAACTCCATTTGTTTTGTACAGAATAGATACTACAAGAGTAGAATTCACCATTCCTTTAAGAGAGAACTGGGCACTACCATTCTTTGCTGTTCAGATAGCAGCCATCACATACCTACTCAGAACTCATTTACAGCCTGTTCAAGAAGTAAGTATTTCTAACAAGTATGACACAGTAAAATTAGCATCAGAAAACTGTCTATAAAACCTTGGACAAAATAATTAATAAGCGTTTATAGCAGTGGATATATATACACACACAAATCACTTATAATGTTGAAAATATTAATCAGATGAGCCTTCTGTTAGTTTAGATGTAGTTGAAGTACAAAGGAATACATATGCTCAGCTGGAAAAAAAGTAAAAGGAAAGCTCTGAAGAGTACAAAACAACAGTACTGTGTATTTAAGAAAACATGAGAGTAACTCAAACTGGGCAGGAGAAAAGCTTGTAAAGCACAAAGATTAAGGATTTTCTTTTGATTTCATTTGTTTTACAAATTTAAGAGGTTGTCCTGATCTACAAGAATAAAAGCAAATTGGTGATACAGTTTCTTTGACAAACAGTTCTTAAGTTGTTACTCGTCAATTTGATCAAATAACTGCTATTTATAGCATAGTAAAACACGTATTGCATATTAATCTATGGGCTGAAACTATTTGAGATCTCACCATTTTCTTGCAAGTGGTATTACAATGGTAAAATACAGGCATAAATACAAGAACCTGTAACTGAAAAATGTTCATTATCCTCCAGGCAGTTATTGCAGTTAGAAAACTCATATCAATGTTTTAAAAATTAATTTAAAATAAAACCAAATTAAGGTGGGTTTTGGTTGGTTTTCTTGGGGTTTGTTTGGTTGGTTGGTTTTTAATGAAGGAAACTATAAAGTTAAATAAAACTTCATTCCCTCCTTCCAGAAATTGACACTTATGGCTATATTCATAGCAACATTTCTCTTCAGCCTGACTTGGCAATTTAATCAGTTTATGATGCTGATACAAGCATTGGCATTATTCATACTGGACTGTTTTGACATGCTTCCCACAGCAAAGGTAAGATTATGTTTGGAAATAATCAAATTTTTTTCTTTTCTGTCATAAAGCTAACAGTGTTGGAGGTATTTTACTAACCAGTGGCCTGGATGCCCAAAGTAATACTGTGCTGCTTTGTGTCTTAAGTAATCACAGTGTATATACTGCAAGTGTAAAAATGAATAATCAAAACGACACCATTTCTGATTTTTTCCAGCTGATTTTATTTCACTTTATGTAATTCACGTATATTGTTTAATTTTTGTCTAGTTTTATTTAGACACAGCTATGTTTTGACACTTAAGTGATTGCTTTTAAACACCATCATAACAGTTGATCTAATACCACAGCTTAAGCATGTCCTCTGGAAGTGGCCAGGAAAAAAAAAAAAGTAGCACAAGAACTCTTTGGCTAAGCTGAAGTCATAACAAAGTATGAATTTTGCCTCAAGTATTGTGCATCCTTTTTTGAGAGTTAAGTGCAGGCACTGTGCCACAGAGAAGGAAGAAGGTCAGATTGCTCAAGAGAAGCAGTTATCTTTCGTACATTGAAAGACACCGCAAAGTAACAACATTGTCACTGCTATGTTGCTGAACTGAATGAGCCAAAAAGTAAAACAAGCGTTACTAAGAAGATAAGGGATCATTTACAGTCAATCTTAGGAAATAGAAATGTACTGTAGAAGATGAAGATACTGTCTTTGAATTTAATGTCGCTGTGAGATTCTAATTAGAAGATTTTAGACCTTGTAAAAGCTTACATTAGTTGAAAAAGGTTCTGACTTTACGTTAAAGAAGGTTACAGTAGGATGAAGAGTAATTCCTGTTAATTTAATTTTAAATTTGATGAAGACTTGAGTATTAGTGATTGTATTAATTTAACCAAAAATTAGTGTGGTGGCTGCATATCAATGTGGTTTATTTAACAGTTTCTAAACTCTTCATTATATCTGCAAATGTAAGCTGAAGTTAGCAATTAATGTGGTTAATCAGCTACCCTAAAAGTTGGCAAACTACCACCTTCATTCTGAATTATACTAAAATGGACTTACACCACTCTTTACTCCGTATTAATTTTCCAAAAAGTGCTATTTAAAACTGTTGGAGTTGGGCCACTTGATACTGACTTACACCACCATTGTAATACAAGACTGAAGTCAGGATCTTTGTGTCAGGTAAAATTTATGTTTTGGTACCACTGTATCAGAAAATCAGCTGGTTTTTAGTGTTTGCATTCAGCTGAACATTTGTAATAGTTTAGCATAGCTCAAAAAGGACTATACTAAGCTATTATACAATAGAGAGATCAGCTGATATTTGCTTGCTGAACTGCACTGAGCTATAACTCTTTAGTCATAAAGACATTGGAGATGCTACAGAAACACTTCTTTGACTAAAGAAAATACAAAACGTCTTCCAATTATTAAGTAATTAATACTTTCCTCACTCTGCAGTTGTTTAGCTTATCTGCGTTATTATAGCATCAGGCTTCCCTAGGTATAATATAGGTATAAAATATTAACCTAACTAGTTCAGGACATAAATATAGAAAGGATATAGTAATGGCTTTAAGTGGAATGATTTAGTGCAAGATGATACATTTTTTATAAAAATAATTGATGTTGAAATAAATTATAAAACATATTCAAAGAGAACCAGCTGTGGCTGTAAAGTTTTGTAGGCATAAAAATCTCATTATTGTTACAGGTTACGTGGCTCTATATCATTCAGATTTCTGGATTACTGCTAGTGTGCGTCCTACAGTTCTTTAATTCTATGATTCTTGGATCATTACTTATAAGTTTCAATGCTTCTGTCTTGATAGCAAGAACAATCCAGGTAGGTACTGAAATATTTTTGTAGTACTAAATAAAGAGTGTGAGATAATATATATACGTATAGGTAAATGAGTAATTTATATGCTTTATAATCTTAAATTACTAATAGTAATTAGAGGAATTACTATAGTGTAAAGCAACAAAAACATTGCATGATCAAATAATGAATTCAATTACACTAACTACAGCATAACCAAGCACATCAGACACCGTAATTCTGTGATTGCTATTAACGTTTATGATTGTGCAAGCTGCAGTTTGGATCCTGCAAAAAAATTGCGTAAATGGACTTTACAC